TGGCCCTGTGAGCCCCTCCCCGGGGGGACCGCGGTGGGGGGGCCGCAGCGCCCGGGGGCACTAGGAGCAGCGGGAACACCGCCCCCGGCAGGGCCTTGGGGCGCCCCTTCTCATACGCCGAGCAGACCCCACTCAGCAGGAGCCGGCGGGAGGGGACGGCCCCACTCGCCCAGCTGGCGGGCTCGCTCCTGAAACAGCGTCAGTCCGACGTTAGAAACGGGGCGCCCGGCGCTGTCCACGCGGGAAACGTCTGCGCAGGGGGCGCGGGGGCAAGGCCGTAAAACTAACTGCCGGTCACGTGTTTTTCTTTGCTTTTGTTTTCCAAAAACTTTTTAGGGTGGCAATATTATCTAATAGAATAGCAATAAAATTTAAAGGATATGTAAAGTGTAAATTATAAAAAAAAAATAGAAAAATAAAATGAAGTGTATAGAAGCAGAAAAGTTCACCCCTCTCTCTTTGAAGCAGTCAAGTAGAAGCCTAACCTTGTGTCTACAATATAATCGTCGGAGTCATCCTAGAAATCCATACTGGCGATTTGTAGAGCTCTTTGTCCATAATATCTTTACCCGCGATGTCGCTACATCTTACTCCTGGAAAACAAGGTGCTCGTTTACGGGTGGGTGTCTCCCTTCTCAAGCCGTCCTTGCATAAACGAAGTACAGCGTGCAATGCTTGCAGTTCTGTGCGCTGCATTTATTTTTGTGAAAGCGTTTAATCAAATCTGCCTACCTGTTAACATCCCTTCCAGCAGGTAGACCCAGATCATCTGGAATCAGCTTCTAAAGTGCAGTTGCTTCGAAAATAATGAAGTCATCGCACAGCAAGATTAAACACAACAGGGCTGATTTATGTACAGGAACTGACGGCTTCCAGATTAAAAATGAAACTGAACTTTTATTCTGCTTACCGCTTGAACCAGGACACTTCCAAAGGCCACTCAGAGCACAAGGCGTCATGGAAGCGCAGCCAGGGCTGAGGCTGAGCGCTGGTACGGAAGGAGGATGCGCCTGAGCTGCGGAGCTCCGCGGTCAGGGGCGAAACCCCCAGCGTGCACGCAGAAACTGTGTCTACGCAACTAACATCCCGCAAAGCGAAACACTGTGTTTGCTACAGCACCTGCATGAAGAGCTGGTCATTCACGTAAGGAAAGTGGATGCTCCCTTAGTCTGCTTGGGCTGCTGTGACAGATCGCCACAGACCAAGCATCTCATAAGCAACGGGAATTAGTTTTCTCACAGTTCTGGAGGCTGAAGTTCAAGATCAGGGTGCCGGCCTGGTCAGGTCCCGCTGGGAGGCCTCTCTAGGTTACACACTGCCAGCTTCTCAGTGTGTCCTCAGAGGGCAAAGGACAGAGACAAGAGCATTGAACTCTCTCATGATCCTTGGAAGGGCATTAATCCCATTCACAAGGGCTCTGCCCCACTGACCTAGTCACCCCCAAGGCCCTGTGAAGTTTGGGGGGATACAAACACTGTCTGTAGCAGGTGCTGTGGGGTATGATTTCAGGGACACCAGGGAAAAATCTAATACTCTTCAAATACCTGATCCTTTAGCTAGAGAGATATTTGATTAAAAGTTTCCCATTAAAGTGAAAAGAACCTGAAAGAAGCAGACCTTCTCCTGGATCAAATCCTTTCCTGAAAACAGCTTTAAGAATTTCAGTACATGAAGGGAACATAATCAAAGTCAAGGGTGTGTTAAAAAGAGAGGAAAAAAGACCAAATTAGAATTAAAAAACTGTGTTCCTTGACAGATCTATACACATTTGCCACTGTCTTAATTAGGGGGTGCACAGGGCCTCGACATTCTCTGGTAAAAGACAAATCTCTGAGCCCCAAGCCATACACACAGCAAGTATTGTGATACAGGGGTTTTAACACTTTACCTTACAATCAGCAATAAGGTCTTACTTTCCTGTTCACTTAGGGTACTCTGACTCCCTGACATTCCAGATTTAGAGCCCACATGCAGAATCCTTTGTGACTATATGAACATATTTCTTTCTCACATCAATGTTTCTCCCCCTCCCCCTTCCTCTCTCTCTCTCTCTCTCTGGAAATCAATGAAAACATGTCCTCAGGTGAGGATTTTTTTTAAAAAAAAGTTAAACATACACCTACCATATGATATAACCATTAGATTTTTAGGTATTTGCCCAAGAAAAATGTAAGCATGCATCCATACCAAGGATATTTATAGCCACCTTATTTGTAACAGTCTAAAACTTAAAACAAACTCAAATGTCTATCAACAGGTAAATGAATGAACCATTCACAGTATATCCATATAATGAAATACCGGTCAACATTAAAATGGAATAAAATGTTGCAATATAGATACCTCACAAACTAATAATGCTGAGTGAAAAAAGACAAAGAAAGGACATAGTCTATCATTCTATGTATATAAACACCTGGAAAATGCCTATTAATCTCTAGTTACAGAAATGAGAGCAGTGGGCCACACGTGTGCAGAGGAGCAGGAGGAGGGGGTTACAAAGAACTAGCAGAAACTTTCGGGAGAAAGACATTTACAATTTTTATTTTGGTTATAGCTGCATGACTATGTAAGTTAACACTTACTGAATTATACACTTTAAATATGTTCCATTTATTGTATTTCAGTTATGCCTCAGTAGGCTACTGCAAAAGTTACAGACCATAAACAAAAATATAAGTCAAACAGGAAACACAATTAAGATAAAATTAAATTTGAGTTACTAAAAACCACAGTAAATTACATATGGATTAAACTTGGCAGTTAAAAGTAATATTAGCTGGGGGGGAGGGGAACCCAGCAACATACTGTTTATATGTGATAAAAGAGCTCAGAAAATTGGAAGTAGATAAATGGAAAAATATATATCAGGAGGACATTAATGTTATATTAATATCATGTAAATGAGATTTTAAGCAAAATCTTTCTTAAAACTGAAATGTTCAGTGTGTATAAGTTTTATTTCACCAGGACTATATAATTATTAAATTGTATATACTGTATAGAGCTTCAAATTATATAAAAATTAATAAGACTGCCAAAAGAAATTACCAAATCAGCCAAAATATTGGGAGGAGGTTTTTATCCTAGTTCTTTCATGATAAAACAAGATAAAGAAGACAGTAAAGATAAAAGATGTGAACAATCCACCTGAATTTTGATCAAATGGTCATACATAGAACATAGCGACCAATGGAGAACATACATTCTTTTCAAACACACATGAAACATTTATGAAAACTGAACACTTTTCACTAAAGTATTCAATGTATGTCAAATTTTTGAAATAGTGACCACATCTTATCTACAAATAAAAAATCACAACAAAATATAACTAGAAAACAACAACATACATTTGGGTTGATATTTGGAATCCACCATCCTAGGATACAACGAATCTGAAAAATTACGCTTAGCTCTAGGACTTGGAGATTCTGTGCCATCAAAATGTAAATGGTCCGGGACTCAAAGGAACAGCCAAAGAGAAGCCAGTGGCGCCACCTGGCCGGGTTACAAAGGACCCCAAGTCATCCCATAAACCAAGTGAGGGTTGGTGGGGCTGCCCCTCTCTTATTCACACATACACAGTGCATGCATATATACTTGAATAAATAGAAGTTTATTTAATTTTTTCTATAGAAAAATTTTAGAAAGTGGGATGTGAATGCTCTTACACCTTGTAAACATTGTCTTGAGCATTGCACCATTCTCAGGATGGTCCTTGCAAACATCAACTCTGGTAGAAAGACAAACGCTACCTAAGACATCTCTGTCTTAGAGATTCACAAACTCATACTGAAAGTTTTGAGTATACATTTACCTTTGTTTAAAGCAGAACTCCCCAAACATTGCACCCCAGGGCACATTTTTCATGTAACACCTGATAACATTTGGCTAAATTAGTATTCACACTTTGTGAAAAAGGGCTGTAGAATTACTGTCTGAATTTGGATTGATGGTGGTTAGAAGAGAATCATTTCTTACCCCTAGTAGCAAGCTAGACTCCGTTGACTGGTATCTCCAGGACTTTAGTCAGTGTCTTAGGGAAGCACAATCTGGACCAAAACAAGGGGGAAAGGAGAAAATTTTAGAAAGTAAGTCCATGGAACTTTTACTAACATTTCATATTTGCAAGACTAGTTCAACTGCACTTGGTTTCAGTTTCTTGCTATAGTCACCAAGTGTTATTCAGCTCTGAATATGTATTCTTCAGAAAGCTATTTCAGCAAAAATATCCTTTAAAATCATCTGACTTGAACATGAGGGAGCTAGAATACATTCAGCACGAGACCACACACTCTAGCCCCATTTGCATTGTGGACGTAACCAACTGTTTTTCCGCACTTCAGTGAGAACGGGAAAGGCTGCGGAAAGGTTGAGCCAGCACTGGCAAATCCAACGTGCCACCTTCTCCTCTGCTGTGTGAATCCTCTCCAATTCCCCACTGCCAGCTGTCTGTCATAAAATCCAGAGGGGACTCTTTTCATAATTTAAAACAAAAAGCACAATAAAAGGTGACACTAATGAGCTTTTTCACTGTAAGAAACCTGGCGGTCTCTAGTGGGTAGGAGCTTAGGGGAATTGTAGTTCCATTAGCACGCCTTATTTCTGGGTTTTGTGGTTTGTAGCTTGGATTAAAAACAAACAAACAAACAAATAACCTTTTAATTTAGAATATTAACTGAATTAGAATACTGAGTGATGAAGAAGACAGGGACTGGAAGCAAGTGAGCACAAGTTACGTCTGAGAAAGCCCGAGACGGGAAGAGCTCCACTGCAAGCAGCTGCCGTGGGACAGGAAGGCAGCTTGGTAGGAGCCCACCAGGCTTTTAAAAAGAATTGAACTGAAGGTCTCAGCTTGCCCACTGACAACTGTATGGTCCTGGGCAGATCACCTAACTTCTGAGGCTTCAGTTCCTCACCCATAACATATCTGCAAGGTAAAAGTACTTGAGAACCTACTGATGCTAGAAACTTTATATTTTATCTCATTTATTCTCATTTAATTTCATCTTCCCAGCAGAACTGTGAAGTAGACACTATTATTTCTGCTAGGAAAATGTATAAAGTGGCAGATCAAAGTAAAGTGATTTAACCAAGACTTCTGTGTTAGTAACTAGCAGAGAGAGATCCAAACCTTCACGTTAGATCACCCTCTAAGCCAACTGTCAGCAAACTACAACCCAGAGGCCCAATCTGGCCTGCTGCCTGTTTTCCTGTGGTCCACAAACTATGGATAGTTGGAAAAAACCTTAAGAATAATGTATCATGACTCAGGGAAAATATGAAATTCAAATTTCAGTGTCCGTGAATACCGTTCAGTTGAAAGGCACTCATGTCTATTCGTTTCTGTATTTTCCTATGGCTGTCTCCACGCTACAAAATCACAATTGAGTAGTTATCACAGAGACCTTATGGCACACAAAGCCTACGATATTTGCTATCTGTTCCTTTACAGGAAAAGTGTGCAGATCCCTGCTTTCGATCACCTCACATGGTGCTGATGTGCTCATCAAATGAGATAATGTAAACAAAAGCTTTGCAATATGTAGCGCACGATACAATTTGAGGGGTTAATGTTCCGAGGAATAATCAGGGCATTATAAGAAACAAAAACAAGCTAATAATAACAAAAGGAAAAAAACCTTTAAAAAGCAAA